AATTTAAAATATAAAGTTTTTAATATCATAAAAACGTATGAACAAAAAGCTAGCAAACGCGTTAGCTAGTTTCAAATAATATAATTATTATAAGATATGGTTGGTGGGATAAGAAACTAATACATCACTAATAAATTAAATTATATTTATTTATTAAAATAAATCAAGAATAATTGTATTCAGACGAATGAATATGGATCTAAGATGTTATGTAGTAAAGATCCTTTGTGTTGCTTCCTAAGATTTAGGCTGGCAACAGCAGGTCTAAATAATTGCAATTTTAATTAACATGAATATTTGATAATTATTTTGCAAACTGTTAATTAATTAATTAATTGGTGTCATGTGACTGCACTTGGTTTTTTATCAATAATTTATCAAATATAAGATCTACTAATAATTCAGAATGCTACCCTTGTTTCAAATTTTAAGGGTGATAGAGTTGGTTGATGGGTAGATAATCTTTTAAATGAATATTAATTAAATTCCAAATTCTTTGCAAGTTTCTAGGTCGAACGCATGGCATAGTTGGTCTAATATGGTTATATTGTATTGTAGCAAAATTTATTTTATACACATTATTAAAAAAAATGGGTTAAAATTGAGGGTCAAAATTGACGGAAAGAGTCAGTTTTTAAAAGGAAATTAATTGATGTCAAACGATAGGTTGTACATCGTAGGCTTTGCCTTCATGCTTTCGTAAAATCGACGGACAAGGTCGGTTAAACTAGATGGACAACCGATTTTGTCCGTTGGTTATTTTCGGTTTTAAAAACCACAACGTTAGTTTTCAAAAATAAATATAAAAATGTAATTACTTGGAATTGAATCCTATTTTTCATGAGTTTGGACAATTGTACCACTCAACCACATATATTTTTTGATGACATATTTTCTTCGTTTTTATTTTATACTCTTCAACTATAATTTTACACTTCAAAAACTGACTATGTTCGCCGATTCTTGAATAAAACCAAGGAACTATATCAATTTTCTTTACAATATTTTTTTTTAAAATTATACTTTTTATACATCTTTACGTGAAAAAAATAGACGAACATCTGTCAGCTTTCTATTTTTAAAAACACAACGAAAAAGGTCGATTGTCCCTCAATTTTTTGAATCAACCCTATGCGTTGCCTTTTTAAAGTAGTAACGCCGACGGATAACGACAACGAACTCCCTTCTCAACAATAACAAACAAATAAATAAATAAACCCCCTCTAAATTAAATGTTGCTTCAAAAGTTAAACTCTTCCTCTAACTTTTTATAATTGATATTTTCATTCCCCTATCATATGCGATAGTACCATTTTGCCCTTGATATGATACTTCAACTCCCTTCTATGTAGTATTTTTTTTTGTTAATATTCTATGTATAATTTATTCATTTTACTAGGTGATAACCTATCATTTAAATTATGTTACATACTTTCATTTATTATAAATTGTAATTGTAATTGTAATTTTAGTTCATTGCAAATACTAATAAATAAAATAATTCTGTATGTTTTTGTTACAAAATATGCCACTGTGTTATGATCGTTATTTTAATATGATGTGTATTACGTTTACGCTTATAAAAATAAAGTTCTCACTTTCTTCTATTCTCAAATATATTGGAAAAGTATAATTTTAACTTTATTCTCTATAAATAAAATTACTAATACGTTAATATATTTTTATTATTATTTTTAAATTATTCTACTCATTTCTTCGTTATTCGGCATCATTAGCTAATATGTTTGATTCATTTTTATTATCATTTTATATTTTTAAAAAATTGATTTGTTTTGTAGAGTCCATAACATGGATTAATTTTAAAAAATCATGATAAGTATTAAATAAAAAAAGAGATAAAGATTTATAATCGAGAGAAAATTTGAAAAATTGATTACGAGAAAGAGGGGGAGAATTTTTTTTTTCTTTTTTTTAAAAGTTTGAGGGTGTAAGCGATTTTCACTTACTACAAACCAATGATAACATACTTATCATTGCGGTTGTTAATGGTATGGTTCAATCAGTTATTTTTTAAAAATTATACCATTCCAATTTTTTGGGTGTTTTATAATACATAACCAAAATTAGATTTTGTTAAACCATCCCAATCATATCGGTTTCTCTTCGGTATCGGTATGGTTCGGTTACTTTTCAGTTTTTTTTCTTTAAAAATATCACCTCAAAATATACTACTATTAAATTATTTCTTTCACAAATATATTCTTGAAGAAACACTTTAATTCTTCACAAAAAGACAAGAATTTAAAACCTTGTCGTTGCTGTATTATTTGATCTTAAACATTTAATAGGAGTGTTTGCATATGTTTTGTTGTATTGTTTGATAGAGTATATATTACAGTATCTTTTAATTTTACACCTAATCAAGTAAAGGCTAATTAAAGAGCACATACTCAAAGTTGTCTAGTCACCAGAGGCCTAGGACCTAGGTTATATTTATATTCGAAAAATGTTATAATATATATATATATATTAAAGTTAACATATTGTTAATATATAAAATATATTTACATACATGTAAGGTTATTCGGTTCGATTTTGGAATTTTTTGGTTTTTCTCATAAATTAAAAAGACCATCCTAATTGTTTGGGACGATTATACACTTAAATAAAAGTCCACAGTTTTATTAAAAAATAACATAAATCAGTTTGGTTCGATTAGGCTCGATCGATTCGATCAATTTTTCATATTCTTTTGACACCCATACTTTATCACTTCCTCTAGATAAATGGAAAAATATTTAAGTTTAGTGTTGAAAAGGGCAATTCTTTTTATAATTTTTAGTTTTTTTTGCAAGAGATCTTTTAACACACACAAAATATATGGAAAGTTCATATTTTCTTAATTCAATTTATAAGCGCTTGTAAAAGGCCATTTTCACTTGAAAAAAATTGCCAAGACAACATAACAAGTATTAAAAGTTGAAAAATTATAAGATACTCGTTCTTGATAAGTAATCATTATTAAAAAGAAAGGACAATCAATTTATTTCTCGATTCACTCAAATTAAGAAGGGAATGGCGTTCCAATATATAAGTTAAAAAACAGGTTTGATTACACTTATTTCTAATCATAAATGGTTAGTAATTGTCAATTGATGATTACACAATTCATCTCATATAAACAATGAATCGTTAGTATCTTCTCCGTCTCATTTTAACAGTTATTTTAGCTTAAAAATTCGTTGAAGAATGCATTGATAGTTTCAAGAATTACATATCTTGTCTGAGTATACACTATTATAACAAATGTATTTGTTTTTTTCCTCTTTCGCTAGCCTCTTTGCCTCTCTTGTTCCTCTATTTCTATGTATATGTAATTCACATTAGTATAATTGCTTGGTGACTTGCCGAAGCAACTCGACGGACTCCAACGATAGCTAATGATCCCTGAATCTAACAATGACTCACCGATGATCAATTTGGAGATCTCGACTTAACTTGCTGAATCAGCCTCGAATGGCAATTTTGTGATACATATTGAAGACGTATAAATAGATATTTATTTATAATTCTCATCTAGCTTAAATCTATTGAATAATTGCTTGTGAAAGATGCCTTGAGTGGAAGAAATAGTCAATGATTGATTTATTTAATTCATATGTTAGCCTTAGCTTGAGAAAGTATGGTTTTGGGTTAGTTCTTAATGTTGAACATGTCGGGGTTTGATAGAACTCGTATGATATATGACATGCAGTTGATTGATAAATAACTATCATAAGTATTAATCTGGCCTACCAATTGATAATCAACTATTTGTAGCAATGGTAGTTGCCACACTATATATGTGTAATTAGCATTCAATCATGCACACTCCTAATTAATGTTTCTTTAATACTTGTGAAAACTCCTTGTTCAAATTTTGCTATTAACACCTTGTTAATCACCTCTTAATTGATAACCAAATGTTCTCTCATACTTTTATGTCTAAATTGACTAAACATACAAAAGTTTAGTACGTGAGATTATATCTTATCGACCATTTCTTGTGGGATCAACACTAACTCATCGTTGAGTTTATATTGCTAGCAACCGCCTACACATCAATTTGTATGATGTATAGCTGAGCATTATCATATATATTACCATGGAATTGATAGTTCTAGGTGAATTAATGGTGCAAAATCCCTGAATTGGAAAGGAAAATTATGAGGTGTGGCTGGGATAAGGAATTTATAAGTTATAATTCGTGAATGTTTAGGCCGATTGTGATTTATTTTTTACTTGTGTTATTATTTTAGATCGAGAACAAGCTAAAGCCTTACAAAAGGAGTCAGAGAAGCTCGTATTCAGAGTTTTTCAGCAGTTGGTTGACGTCCACGTAGGCTAGGCTTAACTAAGTAGTTAAACTTGTCTTTAATTCATAATATTCTTGTAGATTGACGGGAGTTTCATGCCTAGGCCTTTGGACACAGGGTCTGACCATGTTTGACTGATCACAAAATCTAAAAAAAGAAGAAGAAAGAATCTCAAAATTTATGATTTAAAATAAATTATAGTTATCTGTATGATTACAAATCATTATTATTATTTTTCTTTTTTTTATCCCTCCCTAGGAGCTCCCACCCCTTTTGCTCCCTTGGTGACTCAAACTCGCAACCTTCAGGTTGAAAGTGAGGGGTGCTTACCATCCGAGCAACTCCCTCTCGTCGATTATAAATTATTTATTAAGTGTAAAATGATATTAATTTTTAACGAAAAAAAAGGACAATATTTATTCAAAATTTAAATTAAAAAAATTTCATTTATTTCTTTTGTTGACTTCTTTTTATTTATGTATCTTGTATTTATTGACCAACCAAATAATAATACATGTCATGCAAAGGAGAGAGAGGGAAACTTTGCATACTTTGATTTTTTCATTTTTTTTTTTGGACAAACCAAAATCAACCCCTTCCCCTTCACCCTTTATAAGGCTATCCATCTTCATTCTTTGATTCACACACTCACTCCACAAGTTAACAAAAAAAATCGAGAAAAAATCTCTTCTATTTTTCTTCATAGCTATGTTTCTTAATAGGGATAATGCTAGGTTTGCTGTTGGTGTTATTGGTTAGTTCTTAGTACTTTTTTGTCTCTACAAAACCCATACTTTGTGAAAGAGCTAGGATTTTATCCAGTGATTCATCATCTACTGTATATACAGCTAATTTATATTTCAATTTTATATATATGATGTGATTTTTTTCTATGAAGGAGATTTGAATAAACCCCTTTCGCTCATCTAGCTCCGTTCCTACACACTCAACAAAAACATATATAGAGAAAAATAGCTTATGATAATTATTACCTTCAATTTTATTTATTTTTTATAAAGAAACTGATTTTTTTTTGTTTTTATTTTTATTTTCAGGGAATATCATTGCACTCATCTTGTTCTTGTCACCTTTGTAAGCTTCAATTCTCATGTTTTTTCCTTTAATCAACTTTCCTTTATTTACTCTAATAAAAAAGCTTTTAAAGAATAAAGAGTTTAAGCTTTATGCACCGCTTTTGTAAAGAACTTTTTACACTATCATCGATGTATATAATGTGACTCATTTATTTATAGCATTTACTTTTTGTTTCATATTAGATTTAGATATTTGATTGATCTGACTTTTAAAAAGAAAAAAGACTTTTAAAACTTGTGATCTCGATTTTTTTTTTGACAGGACGACTTTCGTTCGTATATGGAAAAGCAAGTCTGTGGAGCAATTTTTTCCAATTCCATACCTAGCCACATTTATCAATTGTGGGATTTGGGTGATGTACGGTCTCCCATGGGTCACACCTAACAGTCTTTTAGTTATAACTATTAACGGGACCGGTCTAGGCATCGAGATCGTGTACCTTACGCTGTTTTTATTGTACTCGGATCGTAAACAAAGGACGAAAGTTATTATAATCGTCATCGTTGAGATTATTTTTGTTGTTGCACTTGGCTTTGTTGTTCTAACTTTTGTCCATGAACCCAGAAAAGGGCAGCCATTGTTGGTAGCATTTGCATGGTGGGCAACATTATGATGTATGCTGCTCCTTTGTCCGTCATGGTAAATATCTTTCACCTTTTTTTACATCTTGCAGATTTCGAGTTTTCTCCTGCTTGAGGAAGTATATATGTAAAATGGTCCATATTGAGTAAAAATAAGCTTGATCATAATTCATAGGGCCCAGTCCGACCTGGCTTGGCCCACCACCAAGCCCAGCCCGGCTTGGTCTCTCATCGAATTCTTCTATTAGATGTTTAGACATCATTTGTTATTATTAATGATTTTTATTTAATTGTTCATCTTTTAAGATGTTGTCACTCTTTTTAAAAAAATCGTGCGAACGCTATTAGTGGTTAATTGAGTATCATTTGTTAAAAAATTATGATGTGTGTATATAAAAAGTTATTAAATTTGTGTACATCTTGATTTTGCCACTTGTTGGTTAAGAAAGAAAATGAAAAATATTTTTTTAAAAAAGGAAATCATGAAAACATCATTTTTAAACTAAAGTTTATATTGTGGAGTACATGCCTTTCTTCCTTTCACTTTTCTCATTTCTCAATGGTGTGAGTTGGACTTCTTATGCCCTCATCCGTTTTGATGCCTACATTCTTGTAAGTATAATAAATATATATATTTAAAAAATATTAATCTTTGTAAAAAATTATAGATTATTCATTTATTTGTCCATTTATTATGTCATCAATGATTATAGCTCATGCATAAGATTTGTTGATCTAGGTGTCGATTAGGCACACCTATATCAAATAGAGATGTCTATTTAATTGTTATGAACAACTTAAAAAGGCCATCTATGAATTTAGTCCTCTACTATTAGCTCCCTTCTTGATGATTGAAAAGATTTTTAGTATTGACGTTTTATTGAGACTTGATACAAAATCAAGATAAAGTTGAAAGTACATAGAGAGGATATAGAAGCTGCTAGCTAAGTTGGTTTTTATGCTTGCTTGCACTAGCAAATAACCCCAAAAAAGGAAAACAAATTCATGATTGGCTTTGGTGGAATAAGGAAAATAAGAACATCAACTTGTTGTACTAGTAGATGAGTTGCTAAATTCTCACCTTTCAATAATTATCATTATATTAGTATGCTACAATATCCTAGCTAGAATAACACATACCTATTTTTTCAATGTAACATCATTTGATTTGATATATAGTTTAACTTTTTTTTTTTATAAAAAAAGTATAATATAAAATAAATTTTAAATATTTACATAACTATATACAAAAATGACATTTAAAAAAAATATATATTTAAAAAAAAATGTGCCACATGATTTTTTTTTAATTTTCCATTCGATGTTCGATATCGACATTAGAGTCTGACTAAATCTGAATTCACGTCGAACAGTCCCACATAGAAGGTAAAGTGTTTCCTAACAAATGCGAATCTTGGAGTCCGACTAAACTCGAATTCATGTTGGAAAGTCCCAAATTGAGAATAAAAAACTCCTTAACAAAGATGAGTGAGGACTTGAACTCGAGAGCTCTAGTTAAACATCAAGAAATACTTACCACTCTACCAAAAGTGTTATTGGTGTGACACATGAATTGAATGAAAGGGAGGAATACCCCATCTAATTGCATTTACTGGTGTAGCCGCTATTTCCTCCCACTTGTTTATGGAGGTCAGTGGCAACCATTAGACGTGTGGGGTGTGTGGGGTATTGCATTGAAATCCACAAAAACTAACCAATCCATGAGCTTCTCTTTTTAACCATTAACCACACATTTCATCTTTTCTTGATTTCTCCTTGGTTCTTGGCCTAACTACTAGTACACTTTTCCAAGAATTCATTTTTTTTGTTTTGATGAACAAGAATCTAGATTGAAAAGGGGACAACCCCACTTGTCTAATATATACTATCTCAATCATCCTTCCTTTTCTTCTTCATCCATCTCCATATTTTCCTTTCTTGTTCTTTCTTTCATATACCTAGATTTGGTTTTCAAAATACCCCTTTGATTTTTCCAAGAAAAGAGCTTGGTGCACAAAAAGTTGGCATTTTGATTAAAAGGGGTCTTTGTATCTGGACTCATCTCCTTTTTTTTCATTATTGGGGGATTTTTCCAGGTGTCAGAGGCCCATATCAGATCTGTGTACAAAAAAAATCCATTCTTTAATGTGCATATGAACACTAATGGATTCTTAATGTGGGAATATCCATTTTAGAACAACCTTCTGTTTGTATGTACATAAATAGAGGATAACCTTCCACTTTCCCCATTTGCTCGTGTCTAAATTTATGTGAACAAAATTATCCATTGTTTCCATTTTTTTCCTCATAAGGGTAAAGGGTGTGTGTATATAGTAATAGAGTTTATTTAGTCAATCTTGTTAGAGTTTTGACGAGGCCCACAGTTTGTTTTGGTGGGCTTCGTCAAGCTAATAGAAGTATAATATCTGTATTTTGGTAAGAAAGGGGAGAGGGTATTAGTTTAGTTTTATATAATTGTTACAGGAGAAAGAGTAAAAAAAAATGAGTTGAGTTTCTACTTATTTTACTAACCTTGCTTTTAACATAATTGGTCACCTAACTTTTGATCTTTTTCCCCACATGATTTATGAACTTTTTTCAACTTTAACAAATGCTTTTCTTATTGATAACTTGCTTTACTTTCATTACTTTCCTTTGTAAGTCTCTTTCCCTTAAGCCACTTCCCTTATGGAGTAGTTCTGAGGTGAGATTGTTATCAATATGGTTTTGGAATGATTTCTTGATTTTGAACCCTTTCAAGGAAGGATTTTTAGAATCTTTAATGTCCTCAAATGTGATGACACTGAGGAGGAAGAGTTTCAGCTGTAGAGTAGAGAATGTTGAGACAAATTCAGAAATGTCTGTGTTGGATTTGCCTGAATTGGTTTTGGAATGTATTCTTGAGAGGCTCCCACCTGAGGGACTTTATAGTATGGCAAGTGTTTGTAGTTCTTTGAGGGAGAAATGCACAAGTAAATATCTTTGGGAAAAGCATATGAAAGAAAAATGGGGCAGAGTTCTTGGCCCTGCTGCTCATAGAGAGTGGTTGTGGCATATTTCTTCAAGAAATGATTCAAGTTTCTTTAATCAGGCCAAAGAAAGAGGTTTAATGACTTACCTCTCCCAGTTTTGGCCTATTTCATTAGTTAGATCTAATCCTAGCACTAGTTTCAAGAAAAAGGTTCCCCCAGCTATTGATTCAATCATGTCTATGTATCTTGCTCTTGAATCTGGAAAGTTTTGGTTCCCTGCTCAAGTCTACAATCGCGAGGTATCATCGATTTTCTTGATTTTAAATCTTCAGCTTGAATAATTTTTACCTTTTTTGTGTGTGTGAATTGTAATCACTAAGATCATTTTATCTGTTTCCAATTGCAGAATGGGCATGTTGGTTTTATGCTATCTTGCTATGATGCTGAGCTTAGCTATAGTCGAAGAACGGACACTTTCCAGGCCAGGTAATTGGGAATATGTTTTCAGAATTTTCCATTGTAAGTTAAACAGGAATTCCTTCTACCTGTCATCAGCAAAAAACTACATATGGAATTAAAAAGGGATCAAGAAATGCTATCTTCTTGTTATATATATATCGTCGATGAATTAGGCGAAATCAGTTTGTTTCTCTAATTTGTTTGCAGATATCCTCCACATGGAAGGAGGGCAATGGCAATAGAGACAGGTGTAACATTGGATAGATTAAGAGTTCCCCCTCTTGATACCTCTCCACATGATCTTTATATCTCTGATTGCTTGACTGAATTATGCCCTGGTGACCACATTGAGATTCAATGGAGAAGAAACAAAGAATTCCCTTATGGTTTGTTCCCCTATAAACCATTCAAACATTTTTCTATTTTCATTACTTTTGATACAACTGTATATATTTATCACCCTGTTGAGCCGAGGGTCTATCGAAAACAGTCTCTACCTCCCAAGGTCGAGGCTGTTTGCCTACATTCTATTCTACCCTCCCGAAACACCACTTATGGGATTATGTTGTTGTTGTATTTCCTTTACTGCCTTTCCTCTTCCTTCCTATGTTACTTGGTGAAGTTTGGTAGTACTCTAAAATTCTTTAGTTGTGGATGGTGTGTTACAAACAGGAAAGAGGACTACTCCAAATCCTACTTCCAACTTGTTAGAATCTTTTTTGTTTTTTTCAAAAGGTCCTTGTTATCTTGATCCCTAAAACGTGTTGAACTGTTAAACCTGCCTTAATTGACCACAACTTTTTATTGATAAATTTTGGAATATATTTTCAATAGTACATGTTGGGAGTGCTATGAACAGTTCTTATTTTTTTTTTAAAAATGGAAGGTGGCCAGCCTTTCTTGTTTGGTAGAAAGTTGAATCAGCTGGTTAGCAGAAACTTGACATCCTATTATTTGATTTGATTCCACTGTCAATTTCTTTCTAGGAAACGTAACGAACTTTGATTGGTGTTTTGATGATATTGAAAAATCTATCTTTGGTTTTTCCAATCTTTGAATTTTTGTGGCATATTTTGTAGGCTGGTGGTATGGTGTTGTAGGCCACTTGGAAACGTGTGATGGAAATGAGTATTACTGCCGCTGTCATGAAAGTGGTGAGTTATTTCCCCTTTCACATCCATAGCTAGTATGTTTTTCAGCCGTATACTTTTATACCAAGTCAATTGGAGAATCCAGCCGTAACTTTACTTACCAGTTATCTGTTGATTGCCTTTTTAAACGGGCTGAATTCAAACATTTCACCTTATACACTGCTAAGTCAATTATTCGACGGAACAAAATACAAGAAACATAAACATCAGTTTCCATCAGAATCAAGATCATAGGTCTCATTTGTGGTCCAGATTAATGACTATAATACACATATTCTTGTTAGATTGCTTAATTTGGAAGAAAAGGTGGACCTACAAAAAGCTTGTTAACCTCCGTAGTTGTGCATTCAAGATTTTCACACATATATGTAGGATAAGAAGACATCTTAGCTGTGAATTTTAATTCTAGCTAAATTGACAATTCATCATTATCACAAAATAGACCTTTTCTTGAGTTAAGGCCCCTCTTTGACTCCCATCACTTTGCATGTGGGCTCATCTTTTATGTCACACAAGACAAGTCCTATTCATTTTGTCATTTTTTCTTCCAACATGGTCATAAGTGCTGTTTCAGTGGAGCATATTTAATAATATAAGCAATCTGAAAGAGACTTGTAATTTTCTCAGCCTATGATCCTTCCTTGTGGAGCTGCATTACTGATGCCTCTTATATTAATATATAGATTGACTGTCCAAGATTTTCAATTTCATAGTCTTACAAACCTTGTGAAGTTTCACTATTAGTATCAACTTCACATCTCTTCCCTTATGTCATAGGGGAACTCATGACTAGAAACAATCGTTATGGTTTGTTTTGATATCCGGTAGGAAAAATGAAAAAGAAAAGGTCCATGCTTTAACTAAAGAACTACCTTTAACTTTAAGTAGGACTCTAAGAGCTCTACCTTAGCAGCTTTTTTTTTCTATCCTTTCCTCACCAGTTCTCTTTTTTGTGTGGAGTTTGTCAAGTTCTAACATGATTCGAAAAATTAACTTCTGGACCCCATATCCACACCTCATTTCATATTATATAGATTTTAAACTCATCTTTTGGTAAAGGTATCAAAGAAAAATATGGCATTCTGATTGAGATGGTAGTTTGGTGTGACTAGGCATATATTCACTTTGAACACCTTTTATCAGTTGAAAAAAATCAATCAATCACTGGTAATAGTCCTCAAGCCTTGATTTAATCAATCAATAAACTATCTTCATTTTTAAGTCGGCTATATGAATCGTCTATATCCAATTCAATCTAAGCCCTACATTTGTTAAAGTTCTATTTTTTCAATTTGTTGGAACTTCATGCAAGGTTTCACAGATCTACTTTTCTAACATTGTAAAGGAAGAAGTGTCAGGGGAATGAAGCAATAACAGATAGTCTAGTAGATATCAACTGTTCCACGGAAAAATGAACTGACTACTCGAAATCTAATGCCATGTCTTCTAATGTTATGATACAGTACATAGGCAATGAAAGTTCTTTTACTTTGCAATTCCAAAGCTGTTATGTTGTAGTGTTTTGTCATGGTTTCTAAACCTCAATGTGGTGCTTGCAGATACTGTAGTGCTAGAGTTCAAGCAGTATACTCATGGATCGCGGTGGAGGACAACACACATTGATAGGAAAGATCATCGCGAGGAAGGGAATGAGGCTGATGGATTTTATGGAGGAATCCGTAAACTTCATAGCAATGAAGAGATTTCTATGTGGAGACGCCTGTGGCCATCCGATGTCTTGGAGTAAGTTGCAAGCTCACCATTGTTGGCAAAAACCTCATTTGTTCCTTCAGAATGTGAGGAAGTTACACCTGAACTTGGAAGTTAGCCATTTTCAGTATACCACTTCCACTTCTATTGTTTTGTGATCAGTGGGGGAGTTATTTCGACACTGATCCTAATTGTTTGTAAAATGATTACCACGTTTACAGATCGATTTGTTTAGTAAAATCTATTAAATCTCTAGTTTAGCTTCTTGTACTAAGGAATTAGATTGTTGATCCACCTTTTATGGTTTCTGTTGATCAATGAAAGGACAGAAGCTTGGTTATTGAAATACTTAATAAGTTTATGTTCTAAAATAACTACAACTGCAAAAACTTGACCTCATGCTATTTATTTTTCTTTTGATTAATCAAAGGATAGAAATTTTGTTTTCTATTTGGAGTTTGCATCCTTTAGCAAGTTTTTGGGTCTAAAACTATGTTAATTCTTTGTTGTGTTTCATTTGTTGTTAGATATATTAAAATGATGATGCAAAAAAGCCTTCCATTGAAGATATACTATCACAAATATGTTTTTAACTCTTTATGGAACATAAACTACTCATCCCCTTTCAAATGAAAAATCCTACATTTCATTCCTTTCATTATATAAGGATTTTGTTTGATAAAATTGGAACGATACATATAAGATTAGCATGGCCCATGAACAAGGATGCACTGTTTAAGGAGTTTTTTATGTTTACATTTCAGAAAAATGTAAATTAAAGAACCACAAACACTATTGATAGATTATCTCTTTCTTTAAGCTTACTACATTTACCTAGGACTTTCAAGTCCATAACCCAAACAAAGTGCTGGTTTGTACTTCACAATCACCAACTTTGACTCCCCTCCATTTACCTTTTTATTCCCCTTGAACTTGAAACTCAACTTCTTGAAGTAATTAGGCTTCCATAGTGCTGAAATTGGATTTATCGTATTTCCTTCATTGTTCTCTTTTCCAAATGTTGCATATCTCACTAGCATTCCTTTAAATTTTTGCATTTTGGTTTGCACAAACACATTCCCTTCATTAGTTTTTTGGGCAACACCATTTGAAGTGGCCTTGTTGGGTTTGAGCTTAGGCTCTTTTGTTCCAAAAAGCAAGTTCTTGGATTCTTTTGAGGTTGGCCCAATAGTCATAGAATGGTTTAGAACCCATCTTCCATATGATGCTCCCTTGGCCTTAGACTCTATGGGCTTTCTTGTATTTGGGCTTGAAGGTTGAATTGGTGACATGGAAACAATTTCTTTTCTCATCTCCTCAATAGTCCATTCCAAATTTTGTGCTCTAAATGGTGAATGTGACCTTGTGCGCCTATGGTGATGATTTGGATTGCTATCCCTCCCCCTATTATCTTCCTTCATCACCTTTTGCATGGCAACAACAAAAGGATTGATGTCTCGTCGAGCAAACGAGGACTTAACGATAGCACTTGGAGAGATAGTTGAGCATGTAATCGATCGTTGACTAGTATATAATTTGATGTCACGTTCACATTGGAGCCTTGGTGGTAGTTTAAGGGGCATGACATGACCGTTAGAGAAAAGTTCATCCGCAAATGCCATCTCTGGGAGTGAGCCACCCCTCTCTCTTCGTTTCTCGTCCCACGATTGATCATCCTCAGAGTGGTCAAAGTTCTCATGACATGTCTCAAACTCCACACAACTTGTATCAAACTTTTTGCTTGTTTCAAATTCAAAATCATTCAGGGTGGTCAACCCACAATCACCACCCTCAGCTATAGTGCTACCAACCCTTTTACCCGGGCTAGCCGGGGCGCTATGGTAATATTGCACCATGTAAGAAGTTGGACTTGTTGGTGCTGTCACATAGGGAGAAGTTGAAGGTGGAGATGAAAAATCCATAGGGTAGAGAATTGTAGTTTAGACAAAAGGCAAATTGAGAAAGTTTTGAATTTGCTCTTTAAGAAGTAACTAAAGGAGTTTGAGTGCTTACTATTTTGCTCCTGAATTTAAGGATTGCCTTAAAGTCACAAGCACTACTACCATTTTATTTGATTCTAAAATAATCTTCAAAGCTAAATAAACATAGAAAATATACTCATTCATGTCCCTAACTATAGAGACTAAAGCTTAAAAGCTAGCATTCAAAATATTGGTGTATAGTTGTTTGATTAAAAAATAGTCATATGTGGACCAACCACAAGAATATTATTATGTATATATTTGGTTATTTGTTGCTTCTTTCTTGGACTCTAATGCTGTTCAAAGAAAAAAAAATTGTTTTTTATTTATTAGAGTTAGTGAAAGATGACTTTTTGGTCTTCTATTGTCTATCACAATCCTCATGTAATGCTGATGTTTGGGATATTATAATTTGTGGGACCAGACAAGAGTAATAAAGGGATGAAAAATAAATACAAGTCTTAACTATAATATAATTGTATTCTTATCCATCTAATAATTTTCAGATATATATACCTTTTATGATTTTATGCCCGTGTAGTGATACCCTTTTATGATTTTGTTGCAATAAAGAAAAAAATATATTCTATTGAAAGTGCCGTCATTAGAAATGAGTCCTATGATACGAAAATACAGATTAGTCAAACTTTAATATGAATATCAGACATTGAGTGAAAAATTAAAAAAAAATGAAAATTTAAATGACCACTCAATTTATAGTAATTGATCATCCAAACCACTCAACTTTGTATTATCTTCCAAAAGTGATTCAACTTTGCCTAATAAATCTAAATATTAACTTATTTATTTTTCTAGAAACTTATAGATGTCACATAATTAAATAGGTATTGAAAATAGTATTTCCGACTAAGATAACTATGGAAACTAACTAATCAAAATTAAATAACTTTTTGAGACAAAATAAAATTGAGTAACTCTATATGGTCAATTAGACCATAAGTTTAATAACCATTCATATTCATGCAAGTCTATAAATTAAATGGTGGAATAAGGTACAAGAAGACATAAACTAAAGCATGAATATGTTCTATTAAAACTACTCAAGATATACATCCAATACCTATATATATTACTTTATAATTTATACTTTAGTAGTCTCATTTCAAATTTTTTCTTTTAAGTTCTAACCACTCCATGATGAATTAGTTGCCACCCGTGAATATATATATATCCTCGGACCTCGATATGTGTGTTGCATCATGCATGTGTACGTCAAATTATATAAAATGTATTTGTGTAAATATAATTATACATGAAAGAAAACTGCTTTAGTTTGTACTTTGTAGTATTTTATTTATTCACTTTCCAATTTTTGTATGTGATGCAAAACATGTATGCAAAATGTAAAAACACCAATGGAGAAGGATGAAGAAGAGTGTACGCAAATTTTATCATTGTCTCATAGAGATAAAGATGTTGCCATATGATGATATAAGATAAATTATTTTTTGATTGTATTTGTATATTTTCTAAATTGCTCTTGTTTAAATATGTATTTTTTTTCCTTTTGTAGTCATTCTTAGAAAAACATCTTCCACTATAAGTATTAACAAGGTGAAAATATTTTTTTTTGTCCAACTCATATTAACATACAAAAAAAATTTAAGCACTTCAATTTAATTTTTTTAATAATTAGTGTGTGTCCAATAGCGTTTACAAACTCGTAGATTTAATTATAAGGTACAAGTGAAATAATGTCGTAACAAAATGTAGCGATTCCTTTCGATCGCTAGGGGTAGGCCAACAGTGAAAGAAATGAGTTAGAAAACTTTTCACGTATAAGTGATTTAAAAATTATAAGTTAGGCCAGTCTCAGAGAATGGATGGGGTGATATGTCTGAGCTTGGATCAGATTTTCTAGTAGCTAAGACATTAAAAAATTTACGGGCCTTTCGAAATCGAATTCGGGTGAGTAAAACTCCTGGTATCGGATTTGGCATGAAAAGGTTAGTCTAGAACATCATGATTCTGTCACGATCCAAGGTAGCCCTTATGCGTAACATGAATGATAAGATCCCAAGAGGCCCCATACAAGCCACTTAGCATTCATAACATAAGAAATAGACAAAAAGATTTGAAAGACGGTTTCAATGTATCAAAGTTGTTATAAAGCAAAGCGGAAATTCTAACATCGTCTCAATAGCCATCTAGTACATAAGAATGAAATCTGGGCAAAACCTGTACATCATGTTCAAAAATTGAAAACAATAAATATCAGTCCTCGAAGCATGAGGACTCACTAAAGATCGAAATCTCCTCAACGAACTCTAACCATGAAACTGGGAACCCTGGCTGTCGGACCCTACATTTGGGAAAATGTAGGAAAGAGTATGCATTAGTTCAAAATATGTACCAAGTATGATCGCCATGCATAAAACATATGAAAAGATGCTTAAAGAGAGATACCTTCATAGGATGCAATGACCAAGCTAAACATGTGATAAGAGTTAGAAAACACGAGTCATAAAACATGGTCAATGCACATAATCATCATCTTAAACATGCTTGAGATACTTCCTTGAAGTAACTTTAATTCATCATAACTTGCTTGTGGGAAGTAGCCTTAACTGGCATATAAGACCATGTGAGCTATTAACATGGAATTCGGTGTCTCCCACACCGAAAAGAGTTGTCCTACTTGTCACGGTAAGGACCATCAACTGCTAGCTTATGTGGATCCACTAGCTAATGTCTAACTAGACACTCCTATGCTAAGCTTAACTTCCACAAAATAGTTCTTATTTATATTCATCTTAGCTCTTAAAGGAACATGGGTAGTCACCTCTTGTCCTTACATCATGTGACATGGGTAATCGCCTCATGTCATTCAATTAAAGAGAATGGGTAATCTCCTCTTGCCTCATCATTAGAATACCTTCTTAGCATTGATTCATTTTAGGTGAGAAAACCTTTCAATCCTAAGAACCCTTATCATGTGAGAAAACCTTTCACAATTCATACTTTCATGTGTATATGAGAAATCCTTTCAACAACACAACAATAAACAACATCATTGATACTTCACTCTCAAAGCATCCTCAAAACATTTATATGAAATTTTCATGAGAACATGCTTGATTTCATACACTTCTCTTTCATAATCCAAAATCCACATTATCATAACTTAGAAAAACATGGGGATTACATGAGTTTAATAAAAAAAAAGAGATTAACTCAATTCATGCATAAAAGACCATAATTCAATCAATTAGATAAACAATCAAAGGAACCCATGACATGGAAGAAAACCCTAACTCAATTGGGGAATTTTAACTTTGAAAATTGGAGAAGTTTGAAACTCCATGGATGAAAACTATCATACCTCAATGCCAAAATCTTGACTTCAATGGGGGAATTGGAGACTTGACTTGAAACCCTAGGTTGAACCCTTCTTTTTCAACTTCTAGAGGGAGTAATATTTGAGAGGTCTTCTTTTGTTAATTTGAGAGAATGATTTCAATTGGAAATTTTTTGGGGATATAGGGGTTTTGGTGAAGTGTAAAATGACATAATATTAGGACAAAATAATTAGGAAAAGACCCAAAAGCCCCTAAAAATAATAACTACCGATCCAGATGATGGCCAGACCGACGTTCTGTTTGTCAGATCACGGACCGTCCTGTTAGGGCGTCATTTGGATCAGAAGCTAGGTTTTGGAGGCCTTGATATACACAGACCGTGGATCCAACTACGTTTCATTGGTCGTGGTTGTGGATCTTGACTTTTGATCCTGAATTTTGTCTAAGATGGGGCTCACCTATGAGACCTACCTACGACTCGTACATTGAATGAAAGACCGTCCTGGTGAACCATTGAAAATGAACTGGAACTAGACATTTTGAAAAAACTGACTGGCCAATCCAAGGACCCAACCTACGGTCAGTGCATCAAACGATGGACCATCGGGGTGTTGTCGATCCTGGCACCATATTTTTTAAAAGCTGAAATTTTTACCCTTTCTCAAATATGAGGTGTTACATTATGTCCCCCTTGGGATCATTCATCCTCGAATGAGATTCAAGATATCATAAGGAAGGTAGGAACTCAAACCTAACAGCCCAACATGCATGTAATTACATAAGTGCTCATATCCGAGGAGGAAACATCAACTTCCAGCTAAAAGCATGTTCAAAATATCATACCATGAAGTCAATATGCAACTCATACTAAATGCACATAACATGTAGAAATCAATCAAGTTGACTCATTTTCTCAAAAAATAAACTTTTTCATGAACATGCATAAATAAGGAAATCGTGAAAATATCTAAGACACATGATAGCAAAAGAGTAAACCGTGAGGAACTCAATACCTCATGCTAAAGTAGGGGTAGCAGGAAAGAGATGAGGATATCAGGACATCATATCGGCCTCGGCCTCCCAAGTAGCACCCTCAACTAACTGATTCCTCCACAAAACTTTCACGGAAGCAACTTCTTTATTTCTTACTTCTTGACTTGCCGGTCTAAGATCTCTACCGATACTTCCTCATAAGAAAGGCTCTCCTTAACTCCCAAATCTTCTAAGGGAACTATAGATGTCGGATCACCGACACATTTCTTCAACATGGAGACATGAAAAACTAGATGCACTGATGCCAACTCATTAGACAATTCTAGTTCATAAGCAACCTTACCAATACGCCTCAAAATCTGATATGGGCCTACATATCGGGGACTAAGCTTCCCTTTATTACCAAACCTCATTACACCCTTCATGGGTGAAATTTTCAAATAAACCCAATAATTAACATCAAACTCAAGATCTCTTCTTCTAACATCGGCATATGACTTTTGGTGAATTTGAGCCATTTTCAACCTTTCTCTAATAAGTCAAACTTTTTCCATAGCCTTATGTACCAACTTGGGACCTATTAGGGCAACTTCACCCACCTCAAACCAACCTATAGGGGATCTACAC